TTTTTTTTTTTTACTATTTCTTGAATCCCACATGTAATGGCAAAAGTGACCGAAATAAAAGTATTTTCCAATGTTCTGGATTCACACAGGAGTTTTGAAAGTCAGGATTTGACAATTTTATGAACTGAAATACATTCTTATACAATCTTCTCAGGAGTGCAATTTAGCAGTAAGTATAAAAAAGCCTTTAAACAACCAGTGGCTTTTGACTCAACAATTTCCTTTCTAGGGGTTAATCCTGAGGGAATTACCCCATGATATGGGCAAAAAAGAAAGCACAGTGATATTGTGCTATGAATGCACAAGTTGAGAAATACACTAATTACTTAATAGGAGGAAGCTGATTAAGAATATTATAGCATATTCATATGATAGAATCCTATGCAAGCAATAGAATCATGCTATATGCTGTCAAAAAAATGCCTGCTGCCATGGCTGAAAGTTCATGCTTTAAAGTGAAAAAGACAAACTATTAAGAATATGTCTAATATAATACCATTTTTTGTTTCATAAAACTTAAAACACGTGTACACAATGTAGTGGTTGGCAGTAATGGAGACCTAATTGCACCTTTTACTGTGCCCCGTCTCAGCATGAAGCAGCTAATGCGGTTGTCGCCCCCTTTCCCCTAGCAGCAGCTAGGGTCTCTCTATCTGTAGAGGGGGGAATGAGACAGAGACCATGGTCTTAGAGTAGGGTGAGGGCTTCCGGAAAAAAACAAAGCAAGATAATTCATTGTGAGATTTGCTTTGGCCTGCTGGGGGTCCCAGCTTATTTTTCTGACTTTACCCAGGGGCTACTTTTCTTCCTCCAGCCCTAATCAAGTGATTTGCAACCTGGGCAATTGTAGTAAAAACAGGAAAGATTTCATCTTGAAAATAAGACTGCATTTTAAAATGCACTTTAAAACCCAATTAGTTAAAAAGTAAGTTTCTTAACATACTCTGTAACAGACAATAACTCAGCCCACCTTGGGAGCAAAGCAGGCATTCTTGAGTGATATGCTCCCAGACCAGGAAGCTGCTATCCTGGGAGGAAATCAGACCAGTAAATTTCTTGTAAATAACCAGGAAGATTAATAAGAAACTTAATGTCTCTTCAAAGATAAACATTTTGGGACCACTTAGCAGGTGTACATCCCTAGCCCTTTGTCTCTCAACCACCTATAAAACCCCTAGACAATGTACCACCCCAGGCCTCTCTTGTCCCTGCCAGGAGCTCTGTCCTCTCACTTTCTCTCTAAATAAAAGCCTCTGCCTTGCTCTCCTAAAAAAAAAAAAAAAAAAAATGTAGTGCTTGGGATGTACCAAAACATTCATAGCAGTTATCGTGTGCTTTACTATATATTTTTCTAAGTCTATTTATGCTATAGAGAGCATACATTTAATTCAGTAACTTAAAAGAACACACAACACAAAATTGTGTTAAGGGGAAAAAATGTACATTCTATGTAAATCCAGCACAAGTCAAAAAAACAGCAAAATAGTTGACTTACCCTAATTATCTCAATGGTCCTTGGTCCCACATCTGTGCCTATAAGTCAAGAAGCAACACAATTAACTTTAAAATTAAGAGATAATATACTTGGGAAATAATATTGTCCCACAGAAATGGTATCATTTTCTAGGTCTTTCAAGAGAAAGTACTGAAGCAAGCAGGCATTTTACACTGTCTCAGAATCCAGACTGGCAACCACTGATCAGGGGCTATGTCCCTTAGGTTAAAAAAAGTCGTCTCTGTTTGAGATACATGTGGCCATAATCATTTGGTCTGACAAAAGCCAATGGAATGGAGCAGCAGCTGCATGGAATATGATGAAATGAATTTCAGGGCAAGCTTTTCTGTCTCCCTGCATTTTTCTGCCTCAATCAAAGATAACCCTCTACCCAAGGAAAGACTTAAAAAGATCCCTTGCCTCGCACCCCCTGCAATGGCATATGTACTTCTGACTTCCTTTGACTGACCAGGTATTTTAAAATTTTCTCTTTGGAAATGGCTTTACTTTATGAAGCACTTTAGATTTTCACTTTCCCATTTTTCATGCGACCTGTGTAAAGTCAAAGGCACCTTCTAAAAATGAATCTCTATGGTTTTACTTCCTTTAGAACAAGTTTTACAGGAAGCTTGGGGTTTATGCGGCCATGTTCAAAGATTTTTAAAAATTTTAAATGAAGGTGAAAAGATTGTTTTTAAAAAATATTATATTAAAAAAAATGGGCACCAGGATGGTTTTGCTACACGGGTGTGCAAGTAACAACCTGAACTTGGGGAAGGGTCTGAAGCTCTCTTCGTGCGGACCAGGCTCTGCAGGCTGGTGATGACAGGAGCGAGGGAAGGATGGAAGCTGCTGTGTGCACTCTGCTGGCTCCCCTGAGAAGGAAACCGAGAGGTCAGCTGTGCTGAGACGCTGACTTAGTCTTAAAAATTCATGCTTAGTAGTAGTACTTCAATTACTGACATAACCAGAGTCATGCGATAGAAAATTCTGAGGGGGCTGAAAAAGAAAACAAAAATTTCCCATCTAACTCTCTAACCATCCTAACACAATCCCACTTAACATTTCCTCAATTGCTTTCTCCATTATATGTGCTTCTATATATTGTTTCAATCATTAAGGTAGAACACATGTAAGATTTTAAGCTTTTCTTGTTCCACATGAAATCAAGAACATTTCCCTAGGTTGTTACACAGTATTTATACATGATAGGTAATGGCACTATGTGTTATTTGGTGCTATAGTCAACATTTATTCCCTTATTACCCAAATTACATGACCTTGTTTGCTGTAACAAAATCTTGATTAACAGCAACTTGATCAAATGGAATACTCAATTGTAGGAGAAAGAGAAAGCAAGTATCAAGAAGATGTTTTAGGAATATGTTAAATTTTTTTCTCAAAGATTTTCCCAAAGTTGGTAATAATTCAGAGCAGTTTGCTATACCTCCATTACTGTCCTTTATTCATTAAAAAAAATATTTGAGGTTTACAATGTATCATGTATGGCTAGTGGCTATCCAATGAAAATCATATATATAGGGAAGGACCTTTCCAATGCAGAAAACAATGTCACCAATAATGAATAAAGAATTTTTTCTACCAACTATCAAGGTTATGACTGTCTCAAAGCTTTGAGCTAACCCTAAGACTACAATTACCATCTGATAAATTGTAATTTGATCCATTTCCTTAGTTCTATGATGCAAGTTGCTTAATATTTTAATTCTTTAAATATGAAAACTTTCAAACATACAGAAAAGCTGAATTATACAGTAGAAAGTCATATGCATGCCACCTGGATTCCACAATCAATATTTTCCTATGTATTCTTTATCACTATCCACTCACCTATTCATCACTTAGGTTGTCTTTTTAAAAATATCTATTTCAAAGTAAGTCACAGATAGCAATACATTTCACAATGGATATGTACACTTAAAGGAGTGTTTTTTTATTTTTCCTGAAAGAGTATGATTTAAGTCAATAGTGCTACAATGGATAACTACTCAGAAATGAGGAAATACAGAATATTATAACTTTTGCCTAAACAGCCTCAGGACACTGTGTTTGCCAAGGCTGTTGTAAATATGCACTTGGCCTGGCAGTGTTCCCTCTGTTACCAGAGGAAAAGATTTCTCAAGTATTTTTGCCATTACATGCTTTTCTCTGCCAGGCAGATACTCTTTCCTGGTTGGTGGGAAAAGACATTTTAAAAGAATAGGCTTGGTGGCCCCAAAGCTAGAAGATTTCTCTTAATGAACCCACTTTCTCTAGGCCAATTCAGTGAGTTATACTTCTCCTTGGCTCTCAGAAGAAGGCATCTATCACCCTAAATTAAGGATGGGAAGATAATGCTCCTAGCAACTTGTGACCCTAGAGCGACCTGACTGTTTTAAATAGGTCTGGAGATGAAAATGTTTGGGGATGGGAGCCTGTTTCTCCACCTGGGTCATGGGCTGGTCTTCAGCTCAGGATCACGGAGGACACTTCCTTTTCACAGCCAGCTACAACCCTTTTTTTTAAAATTGAATTACTATTGATACACAATCTTACATTAGTTTCAAGTATAGCACAACGGTTCAACAGTTACCCATATTATTAATCCCACCTTCATTAGTGTGGTTACTGTCAGCACAAGAAGATGTTACAGGATCATTGTCTATATTCTCCATGCTGTACTACTATCCCCCTGACCAACTCATACTATGATTGAGAATTTTTGTGCCCTTTTATCCTCCTCACCTTCCCCAACCCACCAACCCCAACCCCTCCCCCATTTTAACCACCAGTCACTTCTCAGTGTCTGTGAGTCTACTGCTGTTTTGTTCATTTTGTTTTGTTTTTTTATATTCCACAAATAAGGGAAATCATATGGTATTTGTCTTTCTCCACCTGGCTTCTTTCACTTAGCATAATACCCTCTAGGTCCATCCGTGTTATTGCAAATGGAAGGATTCTTTCTTTCTTTTCAATGTACAAGCTTTTTTTCAATTAGACAAATATCAGTGTAGGTTCTCATAACATCTTAGCCATAATTTTAAGGATAAAGTCAAGATAAACTATATTTATTGTTTTTCTTAAAATTGAATTAAAGTCTACTATCTGAAATAAAAATCTGTGCAAGAAGGTTAGAGAAAAGTCTTTGCTTCTATGTCCCAGGTTTTCAAAATATTACATCTCATCAACTATACCAGAAAAATGGCAATGGTGGTTTTTGAACATTTAATGATAGAACTTCTAAATTTGATAGCTCTGTATTTAACCAGAGTGTGAACTTTATTAGTCACTAAGATGCTTGTATACAATCCTTAAGAACAGAAACTCGGTTCTACCTATGACCTCACCTATCAGTCAAACTTCTCTTAAAAGACTAGAATTCCTTATATCCCTTTATGCCTTGGAGTATGCTACTCCCTGTCTGGGATGCTTTCTCCTTTTCAACCTATCAAACTTTCTTTTTAAACAAAGAAGAACATGTACTATTACCATTTTTATTAAGAAAAACAGAAAATAACTCAGTAGTTAAGAGCTTACCACATGCCCAACACAGTAAGTGCTTCAAAAATGGAGACTTATTTAACCTCAGTTAGATGTATGAGTTAGGGATTGTGATTTTCTCCATTTCACAGATGAGGAAGCTGAAGCACAGAGTGGTTAAAGAGACTGCCAAGGCCTAAGTTTGGGGTCCAGCTGTGGCTTCCCAAGCCCCCAGCACAGGCTGGCCCTGCATGCCAGCTCTGGGCTGGAACCGTGATGACCTCTCTCGTCTGCTCTCTACAGGCCCCGGGCCTGGCCCTCACAGCCATGCAGCAGGGTGCTGAGGGGTGCTGCCTCCCCCCACCCTCCCTCCCCTCTACTAGTCACAGATCTGCTACTTTCTTCTAAGGCACCTGAGCACTGAGAGGGAGAGTGATTTGCTCAAGGTCACACAGGTAGGAAGTAGTATCTGAGCAGTGTAACTTGAACATTTATGTCCTTAACCACTACACACATCATATTCCAAAGCCTTTCAGACCTCTTCAGATTTGTCTCCATTGCCTCATATCTGGGGAAGAGCTCAGGGATAGCTATCAGACTCCTTTTGGAGTGAAACCCCATGGGACCTCCTCTGTGTAGCTCTCCCACACTCCCCAGCAAGAAAAATTTCATTTCCAGTATTGTTCTGAATTCTAACCTCCTGTGTACAGTGAGGCTTTAATGCTCAACAAGTGAGCTTTACATTAAGGAAGAGCCTGAGACAATGATTTTGCATCTCAGGTTTCCACTGTTGATACAGGTCTGGTCAGAATCATCACCGACCATCCATTCCTGGGACTCCACTGTGGCAGTGTGTGTGCATGATATTTGCTGCCCATTATATAAGGCAAAATGAAAAAAAAAATCTAAACTTAACATGTTTGAGTTTCACTGCTTTTGCTTTTAAGATTCTCTGAGATAAGCCAGCTAGTCTGTGATCCTATCTGAACAATGGTGTTTTTCTTCACCCATTTTCTAACATAAAAAGTCAAAGGAGGCAGCTAGTAGCATTTCAGAAGTACCTGTGTGCTAACCACAAAATCAGAGTGTCTTCTGAGCAAAGAAAGAACCTGGAGAGGCTTTAAATGTTAAGGTTCCAGGGAGAGGACCAAACGTCATTTTTAACCTTCAACAAAGGCCCATCTATAACCCACAAAAGGGATTAGGGGATCACATGTAAGTTTCTACAGTTTCATTATGTACCAAATGGAACTAAACATAAAATCTACCATCTTGATTTGTCAGCTATTACAATGAAAAAAACAACAACAGAACAATGAAATATGCTCTGTTAAAAAAAAAAAGTGGCACTTATATCAGCCTTGCAAATAAACATAAGATGTTTGTTAACCCACAAAATATCACCCAGTAAGGCCTCCCTCCCATAGGAGAAACCCTCACACTTTACTCTCCTAGGGATATACCATTAATTGCCCTCAGCATGTGAGTGGCTATTCACAAGTTAACTTTATAGCAATATTTAATTGAATGAATAGAACAATGTTGTGCTAATGAGGGTCAAATTGCCACCAGATGTTGTTTCTTTCTCTTTTTAAAATAAACACAGCTGTGTACATGCATGTAAAGGCAATACAGAACTAATAGTGGGAGAGAAAAGTGGTTCTAAGAAAACATTTGCAGGCAATAAAGGAGAGAAAAATCTAGGGATTAATGAATTTCCATCCCACCTTTCATTTTTATTTTAAACACATTAAAATACATTGTTTTTGGTGTTGTGAATATGCTGCATGTTACATATTGTTTCCAAACAACGATTTATGAAATGGGGAACTTTCTCCCAGTGGGACAGGTGACTGAGTCAGTCTGATGGGAAGCTTTCAACAACCTGACTGTTGTGTGATGTCTTTCTTGAGGAAGGCCAGGAACCAGCACGGAGTCTTCCAATCTCTAGCTGTACCAGGCCTTGTGCACACTTGGGAAGACAAGAAAAGAACAGAGGTAAAAACGAGTAGCATGTAGGTTTTCAGTTACCACGGTAGAGCCTCCACCCTTCTCTACAGCCAAGAACTGCAAATGGGTAATGAAGGCAACTGGCAAAAATGGAAATTCAGTTATCAAAAAACCACACAAAATAACAAAAATTTATCAACTCAGCGGTATTCATCTCATGACTTCATAACTTCTTTAAACATATTAAAAGGATTACATTTCAGTTCACCTCTTTTCCTTTTCCCTCCTGATGTAAGTATTTTTGTGCAGTGAAGAAAAAGTGATAAAATGGAGGACAGACAAAATCAAACATAGAGGTGATCTACAAATATAAATCCTCTTTTGAGTAATAACTGGTAGTTGACTATATGAGATCAGGATTTTAAAATAAAATCCATTTGTCTTTGCAAAAGCTTCCATGGCCATCTGTGAAACAGAATAAGATGCACCTGGTTATAGCCGAATGGAAATTTACACGAATTTTTAATAACCAATTTCTTCCAGGAGACGTAGGGCCCACATGGCAGAGCCACTTGGAAAGGAATTTTGAGCCTCAGCATCTCTACTGCTTCAGCAAGAGACAGTTGGGGTGGTAAGAAAACCTATAGAACAGAGCATATCTTGGGCATGCCATTTTACTTTTTCAAACTGCATTTGTAAATGTAGAATTGTTGTAGATAATCTTCAATGTTCCTTCAGGCAATAAAGTGGATTTGATGAATTCATGATAATATATCCCTGGAGGGAGGAGGATGAATTTTATGGATCCCATTAAATGAATCTATCCCATTCAAATGCATTTAGAGGACAATTACGGATAGTGGAAATTCTTACAAGTATGAAAACTTAGAAATCCCCAAACAGGGTTCTTGTCAATCCTGTTAGTCAATAGAATAGCTGTTTTTTTTTAAAGCTATTCCTGACTGGTTAAAATAATCAGAGATTAGAACTCTAGTAAAAACTAGAGTCAGCATAAAATCCAACCCATTTTATAATCAAGCTAGACTAGAATTGTCCTATTAACTGGACTTCAGTTATACCAGGCAGGCAGAAAGCAGCCTAGGGACTCACCTTGAGGATAGTGGCCACTGTTTCCTGTGAGGCATTTCTCATGTCTTCTCCATTCACAGATAATATCTGATCTCCCTGAATCAATCTCCTATCAATGTCTGCAGCTCCACCTTTCACGATGTCAGAAATAAACACTCCGTTTCCATTTCTGTGAATACCATAAAGCAGTGGGTAATGGCACAGTTTCTTTATTAAATCTGAGGTTATTCACACTCTGTATAGATTCACTAAATCATAAAACTTGGAAAAAGGGTCTTATAAAGCCATCTAATCCAACACAATCTACTAATTTCCTAAATGATAAACCTCAGGGTGCTCCCCCTTTAAATAGTTTAGGCCTATTTGTGCTGCCTATGGTGATGTTCATTTTTATGTCTCAGGGGCATAATTTCTGCAAGAGGATAATTTTAATGAAATGAAATGGAAATTCACTTTCAAAAACAGAATAAGTACCTTAAAATGTACAGGTTTTTCCTTTAAGATGAGCTCAATTATTAGCATTTGATCTATTTTTAGTCTCTCACTTTCTTTTCCTGCCTTTATTACTTTAAGGTTTTAATTACAGTATATTTATTTACCTGATGAATAAATGTCTCAAAATTCAAGAGGTTAAAAAGGGGGACCTTGAAAAGTTTGCCTCTCATCTCTTCCCCAGTCTCCAAATTCTCTTCCCTGAGGCAACCAATGTTACCTGTTTCTTGGGTATCTCTCCAAGAGATATTCATATAATACACAAATATATGCATGTATACTACACGTGTGTGTGAATGGATATACATACACTACACCCCTTTCTCCTCCAGTTTTGTTTTAACTTTGCTTTTTTCACTTAATACACCCGGCAATATGCCTTTATTAGTACTTATGGTTCCTCATTGTTTTTACAGCTGTATACTATTCTACGGATGTTTCTTAATTTCAGTTATGAGTAAATTACTAATAGATATATGTTATTTCCATTTTTAGCTATTACAAACAATGTGCACTGAACAATAACTCTACAGGGATATCATTAGGTTAAATTTCTAGTCATGGAATTGCTAGTCAAAGAATTGTGAATTTTGAGACCTTGTACATCTGATCCTTTACACTGAAACTTTTTGTGATTATTCCTTACAAGTTTGATATGAGTTTTTTCCTTACAAATTTAATTTGTTCTTTACAAATGTTCTTTACAAATTCAGTATCAATTACTGTTGTTATATGAAGATTATTCCATCAATCCACTATGGGACAATAAAGTAAAAACCATCCTCTAAATGGAATCTCCCCAGGTATAGTGTATGTCACAACAAGAAAGCAAGCTTCAACAGGGGCTCTGCTAGTTGCTCTGAGCCCAGTGTGCATTGAGTTTGTTTAGCAATATGAGTCTCAGGTTTTTTATTTTGTTACACATTTCAGAAAGACAGTTTTATGGTGCTGAAGTAAAAGAATGAGCCCATGACAGCACAGTACTTGGCACAAAAGCAGTGCTCAAAAATGGTAGCTAGTATTTTAATAACAGATTAGATAGCTGAGAAAAAGCACTAGGCTAGTCATCAGATATCTGTGAGGGCAAATCATAGAACACATAAAACCAGCTCCAATTCTTCCTAAGAAGATGGTTGGTATCATTTGTGTATATATTGGGGCCTCAATCCCAATTGGGGCCTGAAAATCCTGTAGCCTTGCTGGAATAAATACATACTAGGCATCTAAAGCCAATAAACCGCAGAAGCCGGAATTGCAGTTTCAAGATATTACTTACTTCTATAATCCACTATTATTCTGGAACAGTTACTATAATTTCCATATATGGGTAAGCAGCACAGACTTCAAAAGAACAACCTAGCCACTAGGATCTCCTAGCATTTTTGGTGCAAGCTATTATTTTGGGGACATCCTTCTTAATAGAAAACTACTGTCATGAAGAGTTTATGTCTATGTCTTTTCAGCTAGTTTTAGTAATTCCTCAACTAGTTTTAGTTAACATTGTATGAAATTAACATGGTACTCCATGGCAGAGCAATTTTGTTAATTCAAAGTTGTATAAATCTTCTCTTGATACCAGCTGTTTCTTGGGTATAGTTGTTTTCATTAACCCCTGCAAGACTCAGATCTAAGGGACTTCAAATTAGAAGAACCGTGTTGACTTTGTTCTTATTCTATATGGAAATAAAATCCTGAACAGCTTGGGTATATTGGGCTTAGAGCTCTATCTTTATATGATGCATTTTTTTGGTAAGATCTTGCTCAGAAATATGACCTATGTTGTTCAAATATTCATAAAAATGTTAACTTTAGAAGTCATGTCATTAGTTTACACTAGACATTGTCTTTCAGTGTCCACAGGCATTAGTTCCTAGAACTCAAAAGGATAATACCAGTCAGTCCTGGCTTGCAAAGCATTTCTTTACCGTTTCCCAACAATGCTCAGGCCCAGGCCTCGGCCAGCCTTCTTCTGCAGATCCACAGGGAAAATTTCCAAGTTTTCCTCATCCCTGTAGTGCGCCTCATCTCTAAACACCACCAGTTGCACCTTCTGGGGGGTTTGCCTCAGGGCTGTGATGGCTTCTTCGTGGCTAGCGCTCCTCAGGTCAATCCCATTAACCTGGAACAATGGGCAATCAGGATGGGCTGCTGACAACAGAGGCCTCTCTGCCTGCTCTGTCTGCTGGAGCATCTGGATCCAACCAGTGCAAACCTCTAGAAGTTCCCTGCCATTCCCAAAGCACACAGGCAGCAACCACTAAGAGTGGTGGATGCTTCAAGTATATAGGAGGTGACTCTTACACTCCACCCCAGATAAGCAGAGGGTAGATTAGTATACATAATAATGCAATCTTATGTAGCTGTGAACTTTACTATGGAATCTATCTGAGAGAGAGAGCAGGGACTAACTGCTTCATTTACTTGAGGTCAATGGGAAATAAACATTACTGTTTGGTCAGCATTTTCAGACTCAAGTTTGCATACTAATTTGACAACCTCACTCTTAATTGCTAACATCACAACTTCTTCAGAACATGCTGGAAGGAAATAGGGGACCAGTATTTCCAAAAGCATCAAAGACCCCTCCCCCTGGACCAAAGTCCACTCATTTGACTCTGGATCCAAATGAGCACAGATGGGACCACACATGAGACAGCAAACAATACTGGAACACCACCAAGTAAGGCTGTGGCTCTGATGCTGGCAAGTTGTGTGAATTTGGGCCAGTCATATAACCTCTGTGAATCTCTGTTTCCTTGCCTATTAAATGGAAATGGTAGCCAACATTCATTTTTTACTTAACAAATGCTTCTGTACTAGCCCTTTATGAATATTTACTATTTAACCCTTCTTCTAACACTCTGAAATAGATATTATTACCATTTTACAGGTGGAGGAAACTGAGGCACAGGGAGGTTAAGTGACTTGGCCAAGGTCACACATCCAGCTGGTGGAGGAGCCATGACCTGAACCCAGACTGTCTTTCCACCCTTAGTCTCTATACCATGTTGCCTCAACTGACTCTTGGAATGGGTTACTGGAGCCCCTTGCCATCAAGTACTGCTGTTGGTTAGTGAATTGGATACCATGGAGAGAGTGAAGGGCAGAGTAGCCAAGGACTCAAAGGGAGGGAGTTTGAGGCTTTCCCTCAACAGCTAGGAAAGAGCCCAAAAAAGGGAAGGATGGGCTAGGCCAGGGTCAGGTGGATGGCAAAAAATGGGAAGTCCCGTAAGACGCTGGTTACACACTGTGTTCTGGTCCATCTCTGTGTGTTCTGGGCAGGTCAGGTCCATCTCTGGACCTCTGTTCATTCGTCTGTACAATCAGACCCTGGTCTAAGGCTTTTCCAATTCTAGCATTCCAAAGAGTAAGGACTCATGGCATAGAGAATGGTTACAGAGAAGGGAGAAAAGAAGTATGAGACCTGTTTAGAGAAGGTGACTTTTGAGCTGGTTCTATGAGCCAAGAAAATGTTTAAAAGGCTAATTTTCAAGCTGCTTTTTCTTTGCTGGTATATATTGGTGGGTTGTATACTCAGGTTAACCACGCCCAGAACAACAGTGGTTTTCAAGCATGGGTTTAGGATGTAGATGGAGTTCAGTTTGGTAGCTGATTCCAGTTTACAGACTAGATGAAACCTTATGTAGATTAGTCAGGTTAAGCTTCAACTGTGTCATCTATGAATTGCAGATAATAATGATAATATCATTATTTACTTAGTGTTATGAGAATTATGTGAAATAAACCCTGTAATGCCTTCAGCACAGGGCTAGGGTTCAGCACACAGTTGAGCTTGATGTAAGGTAGAAGCTGGTATTTCACAAGGTACTGAAGTAACCACAGCCAGGGCTCTCCTCTCTGTGCCAACATTCCCTGCTGTGTCAGGCTCCTGAATGTGCTCCCGTTAGCGAGGTAAACCCCACAGAACAATAGGGAAAACAGTGTCTCTAGAAAATGTGGCCTGAGTTGATTATTTTCCTGTATGCCAATAGATGGCATACAAGACCACTTCTGTTAATCAGTTGAAAAGTTACTTACTTCTATGGATTGATGGTGAATTCTCTAAACCTCTAAAATACCTTTGAAAGGCCCTAATGATACCTTTAATTGAGAGCATTATTATTAAACTCTAATATTACAAAAGCAATTTACATTAAATTCCAGCATTAAGACGTCTGCTCAAATTAAAGTGATTCACTCCAAGTTCATAGTTTTCATTTCTTCCTCTGCTTATCAAGAGATATCACTAAATGTACCAATAATCATAAAAGAAATATTGCTGTGTGTCTAGAATATTGTGGAATGATATATTACCTTAAGTGCCTCACAGAAGCACCATATGCATTAATTAGAACATTGACTGTATGGGGTAGTGTGGTCATAAGCAGGCTCCCTATTTGAGAGGAAGGACTGTAAGAAGCCCTGGTTGACAGTGGAAGTGTGGCTTGTCCCTAGGTAGGATGTGCATGTGGGCACATGGGTGAACCCCTGCTTCAGAAGGAAAGAATAACCAAACCAGGTAGCAGTTCCTCATCATTTTATTCCGCAGGGAACACGAGGCATTAGCCCTCTTACTCTTCCTGTTCCTACTTGCACAAAAATGGAAGAGGACAATGCGAGCAGAGGCAGGGTAAGACGAGCTACTGTAAAGGAGAAGCAGAAAGAAGACAGTCCATGCTAATCACAGAGTCTTAAATCTTGTCATTCTAAAAAATCATTTGACTATATCTTTATAAGCAAAATCTGGCTTTTCCTAATTTTAAGTTGAAGATAGTATTCAAACCACAGAAGGCCACCTTGCACAATGCAGAAGGCATTGTTTGAGCAGAAAGGCCATTGTTTGGGAAAGCACTGATGGAGAGCTGCCTTGTTTTGTGGTCTCAAAACGTACCACCCAAGTTGACCTATCTTCTCAAGGCAACTTGCAGGCCACAGGCTGCCTGTGCATCACTGGGCACCTGTACACAACTGACCACAACTGGAAAAAAAGTTCAGATGTAGAGTCTAAAGCTGCTTATAAAGGAAACATGTTACTTGACCAAACGGAGATCTGTTTTTTAACTGAATACATGACATGCTCTTGTGGATGAGATCCCATGGGAGTAAGAGAAGAGGCCGTCCTGCTCATCTTTCATGAGAAGTTTAGACCATCCATCCATACTGGGTAATGTAACTCAGCTAGATGCCAGGAAATGGTTCTTGACCTTTCAAATTCTCCTTCCACTTAAAACAAATTTTCTTTCTTCATGCTAACATGTCCTGAGGGTTCACTTGTACTTGAGTATACTTTATGAAAGAGAACACTACAGCTGAGGGTCTATCCAACACAAACAGATAAAAGTGTAAAGAAAGGTTTTTCACTGAAGTATAACAGTTACAGAATAAACTACATATTTAAAGTACACAATTTATACTGTGAACTTATGTGAATTTATACCTGTACAACCATCTCCACAATCAAGAAAATGCACATACTAGTTTCAAGTGATCATTGCAGGATAATTTGTGGGCTGACAAATCGTGTAAGTATCAAGGCATGTATGTGTCTGTACTCTTCTGAATATTTAACCTATTCATCTTATATAGCCAATTACAATAACACCAGTTAATTAGAAAAACTAGGAAGAAAAAAAAACCCCTAAAACTTCATTACTAAAAGATGGTGTTGTATGCTAAAGCAGTTAAGCCTATTCCCAAAGAGGCCTCACTTATTTTTCTAACCTCATACACTTGTACCTTAATGAGCATACTGGGAATATGTCCTAATTCAGTGATGAAGCACAGTAAAGGTCTGCAGAGAAACCCTATAACTTGCCCTGAATTTAATTTGCAGTCAGCCTGGCCTCTCCTTTAACTCCTTCTTGCCTATATTTTCTCCCCTTAATTATATTTCTCGTTTCATCTTGGGAGGCAGACTTTTACCACCAAAGGGAAAAATAAAAACCTATGATGTCATTCATAATGTGCTATTAGAACTGCAAGGAGAAATGCACATGACCACTATAAAATGGTAACTGCTCAATTAAGTTCATCCAATGAAAGAAATAAATGTTGCCTAAAGGTTTCACATCATCAAAAAAACTCTTTAGTTCCACCTAGCAGAATGCCTGGCATTTGCTTCCCGTTCTTGCGCTCCCTAGTTCAGACATTGCCTGCCTGGGCGCTTTCTAAAAGGTTTTAATGCCGTTGCTAATTGAGTCCATTTGAAAGAGGCAAGTTAAGCATTTCGATTTTAATAAGTACCATATACCACCTAAACCAAGAAGATGCTACATTTTCTTTAACTAGAAAACAAAGATAACAAGGCAGGGACCTCAATTTGATTTAAAGATTTATTAGGAATAAGAAAGTAATACTTAAAGCTGACATAAAGTCTTTTAAATAGCAGGTGTGCATGTTTATGTATATGTAACTATATCTGTTTTTAGAAGGGAATTTATTAAGGTATAAAGTAAAGGCAAAAAAATTAAATTACAATACTTTCCAGTCTCATTTGATATTAAGATTACAAAACCAAAATCGTATTTTTCACTTTTCCCTTTAATTAAAAAAAGTTTTCACAGGTTTAGATTGATAATCTGTCACAATCTTGACAGTTATTCAATGAACATTTAAAAAAGAAAAAAGAATAAGGTATGTGTTTTTTTTTTTAATGGGCGAGAAGTGAGGATACAGTTGAGTTGAAGACAGTGAGTAGATAAACTGACTTTGTAGGTCAAGGTCAGTAAAGGAATCATATTTATAGGTATAAAATAAAATTCACAATCTTATACCTCTAGTATCTGGTCTCCAGCCCAAAGTCTTCCATCTCTGGCTGCTGCTCCTTCTTCATAGACTTCATGTATAACTATAGCATCCTGTAAAAGACAAATGCTTATTAATTTTCAATAACCACAAATGCTTCCTTATGTAAACAACCAACCCATCAGAGTAACCCAAAATTTGCTACTTGCTAATAATGTTATATTTTATTTGACCTTAAGATAAACAAAATATACAGTTATGATATATTCTGAGGTCTAATTCGTTTTTCCTAAGTTTATTATTTTACTCCTTTAGGACTGGCTTTGCTTAATATTTCAAGTTAAACTTCCCTCATGTGTTTTACTGTAGTCCTATACACTGCTGCTGTGTATGAACTTGAGGTGAACTATGTGTCATTGTTATTTATGTTTTATGGTGTATTTTGAAACATGGTTTCAGGTATTTATTAGTGTTCAAGGATTTGGCATAGATGTGTGGCCTGATGAGGGGGGTTTGTCAGGCCTCATTACTTGGGCAATGAAAGGAAAGAACTTAGTGGAATGCAATGGTTCTGGAATTCAGAGCGTGGAGAAGGAGTAAGAGCATTCACAGACCTACATGTAAGACAACTGTGGGTTCAAATTCTTACTCTGCTATTGAGTAATCTTGGGCAAATTAGCTCCTGAGCCATAAAATCAGAACAATATCTAAGGTAGGTAAGCTTTGGCTGAGAAAAGTGTTTCATGGTTAATGAATTAAAAAAATAATCTGTATCTCTTCAAATTAACAACCTTAAATTTCTTATTGTCATAAAAATAACATGTACCCATGTAAAGGACTCAAGCAATGGCAGGATGTAGTAAACTGCAGAAAGAGACTACCTTCTGCACCTGGCCCTCAATTCCATTTCCTAGAGACAACCACCATCAACAGTTTCCTAAGGATACCTCCAGATAAGTTATATCTATACACCCACATATTATATCTATACACCCACATATTTATGTTTTGGTGAGACTATTTAAAAAATACTCAATTGTCTCCTATACAGAATTTTATTGTTGTTAACAACCATTTGATCAATAAATATGAGAGAGGCCCTCTAAAAAAAATACTCAATTGAGCTTGTTTGTACAATTTTTTCCCCTTTCTCCCAATGTTGAGCAAGTAGTCAAGCTTTGTAATTCTTTGCCTTCAGGATTTTTGTGGAGTTAAAAACTGAAGCAACCAGAAGTCAATGGTTCTTTCTGTTGTTTATAAAACTGAAAGGCACTGAAAAGATGATGCTGAATGAATTATGCTAGGTGTGTTGGAGGGCTTCTGGGAGAGGAAAAGAGCTTTTGAGTGGAGACTAGAAACAGATCTGTAGGTCCCATGAGAAGTGAGGATTTGAGCCTCACACTGCCCAGCTCCTCACCCCACAGCACAGACACACACAGGTTGCAAGATTCTGCAGGCAGTGTTCAAGGTGGGTGGACTATGGGCATAATGGACCCCACCCTGAAAGAACTCATGGGTCTCAAGCATTGGAGCCTGAAAGCATCAGGACTTCTGGACTTGAAGAGATCATATAGGCTTGGGTAGGTATGGGCTTGATGATTACCAGGGTGGACTAGTGACGATGAACACAGGGGCCTACCGATGTCTGGGAGCCTTATGAAGAAGCCAGAGCCCTGAGTGCTAATGCACCACCGAATGACTGAGGTCAAATCTGCCTTAGTCCAGAAGTATGGAGCCTCAGAATCAAAATTAAATTGACATGAAGTACATAAATATTTATTACAAAAAATACAACAAATAGGAAAAAAAAATCCAAACCAAATCTACTCTCTTAAAAAAAAAAAAGAGTCCTTATACAAATCCTGGAGTAGCAGCAAGAGAAAATAACCAGATGACCCAACTGGATTCTGAACAGCTTTACAATATTAAATACTTTCATTTCATCACCACAGTTCTGAAAACATTCTTTATTATAGCAATTAGACAGAAGCTCCCAAGAGCCGGGGAAGGTTTCTTGATCCAGACAACATACACATTTCAGATTCTGTACCGGCAATAGATGTTATACCCATCTTTATTTTAACTCTGACTTATGAAATTTCCAGATCCAGTGAGCATTTACACTGCCAAGTGTGTTTCTCTGAACTGTTTCAGGGGAATGATTTTGAGGAAATGTGCTGGATCAGTAGCTTCAGACGATCCCAATAATACTGCCAAGATGACACCAAGGGTCATTTTTATGAAGGCAGTGCAAGGAGAGACTAATGTAGGCTCCTGGTAACACCTGGTGCAGTGCCAGTTTTAAAAGTTTGGTGGTCCAAACACCCCATCTTCACTGGATTGGGAGAATCAGACTGAAGCCATACTACAAATGTTTTTCACAGAGCTTAACTTTCAGCATAAGCTCCTTTGATCCTGGAATATTACAAAAGTCAAATGGGAAATTTCTCTTCATTTATACTCAAAAGGAAGAAAAAGATTCAATGGAGTTTTTTTCCCCCATAAAAGTAGTCTGAATCCAAAACTCTCAGATACTTTCTGGGTGCTCAACAGCTATCATACATAAAGGAAACACACAGCTCATGGTCTCAAATAAATGCTGAGTGCACTGCCAATGATCTGTTTTTGGCCCATGAGTCTTTATGTATGAAAATCTCCCCATTTATTTTTTCCTTCTGTTTGACTACTGCTGTGATTTCTCTTAAAGTTATCAGTGAAAATACAAGAAAAACATGAAACACTCTGACTTGCCAACAGAAAAAGGTCATATTTCTTACCATGCGCCCTGTGCGCTGAAAGCGCTCTATGAGGCTGTGGTTCTGGGCAGTTGCATTAACTGGGGGCAACAGAGGTAGGAGGTGAAGACCAACGCTAAATTAGAAATGTGGACTGAATTGAAAAGAATTTTATTTATTTTTCAAAACTTATACACCTCGGAAAGAAGGAAAGAATGGTAAAA